GAAACACCAACTACTGCCTTCGAAACCACGTCTTACACCTACTGGACTGGTTCTACAGCCAACACCTTGTCGACTGTTACCACCACCTTCACTGGTACCGATGGTATCGAGACCACCGAGACAATCTACATTGTCGAAACACCAACTACTGCCTTCGAAACCACGTCTTACACCTACTGGACTGGTTCTACAGCCAACACCTTGTCGACTGTTACCACCACCTTCACTGGTACCGATGGTATCGAGACCACGGAGACAATCTACATTGTCGAAACACCAACTACTGCCTTCGAAACCACGTCTTACACCTACTGGACTGGTTCTACAGCCAACACCTTGTCGACTGTTACCACCACCTTCACTGGTACCGATGGTATCGAGACCACGGAGACAATCTACATTGTCGAAACACCAACTACTGCTTTCGAAACCACGTCTTTCACCTACTGGACTGGTTCTACAGCCAACACCTTGTCGACTGTTACCACCACCTTCACTGGTACCGATGGTATCGAGACCACGGAGACAATCTACATTGTCGAAACGCCAACTACTGCTTTCGAAACCACGTCTTACACCTACTGGACTGGTTCTACAGCCAACACCTTGTCGACTGTTACCACCACCTTCACTGGTACCGATGGTATCGAGACCACCGAGACAATCTACATTGTCGAAACGCCAACTACTGCTTTCGAAACCACGTCTTACACCTACTGGACTGGTTCTACAGCCAACACCTTGTCGACTGTTACCACCACCTTCACTGGTACCGATGGTATCGAGACCACGGAGACAATCTACATTGTCGAAACGCCAACTACTGCTTTCGAAACCACGTCTTACACCTACTGGACTGGTTCTACAGCCAACACCTTGTCGACTGTTACCACCACCTTCACTGGTACCGATGGTATCGAGACCACGGAGACAATCTACATTGTCGAAACACCAACTACTGCTTTCGAAACCACGTCTTACACCTACTGGACTGGTTCTACAGCCAACACCTTGTCGACTGTTACCACCACCTTCACTGGTACCGATGGTATCGAGACCACGGAGACAATCTACATTGTCGAAACACCAACTACTGCTTTCGAAACCACGTCTTACACCTACTGGACTGGTTCTACAGCCAACACCTTGTCGACTGTTACCACCACCTTCACTGGTACCGATGGTATCGAGACCACCGAGACAATCTACATTGTCGAAACACCAACTACTGCTTTCGAAACCACGTCTTACACCTACTGGACTGGTTCTACAGCCAACACCTTGTCGACTGTTACCACCACCTTCACTGGTACCGATGGTATCGAGACCACCGAGACAATCTACATTGTCGAAACACCAACTACTGCTTTCGAAACCACGTCTTACACCTACTGGACTGGTTCTACAGCCAACACCTTGTCGACTGTTACCACCACCTTCACTGGTACCGATGGTATCGAGACCACGGAGACAATCTACATTGTCGAAACACCAACTACTGCTTTCGAAACCACGTCTTACACCTACTGGACTGGTTCTACAGCCAACACCTTGTCGACTGTTACCACCACCTTCACTGGTACCGATGGTATCGAGACCACCGAGACAATCTACATTGTCGAAACACCAACTACTGCTTTCGAAACCACGTCTTACACCTACTGGACTGGTTCTACAGCCAACACCTTGTCGACTGTTACCACCACCTTCACTGGTACCGATGGTATCGAGACCACCGAGACAATCTACATTGTCGAAACACCAACTACTGCTTTCGAAACCACGTCTTACACCTACTGGACTGGTTCTACAGCCAACACCTTGTCGACTGTTACCACCACCTTCACTGGTACCGATGGTATCGAGACCACGGAGACAATCTACATTGTCGAAACGCCAACTACTGCCTTCGAAACCACGTCTTACACCTACTGGACTGGTTCTACAGCCAACACCTTGTCGACTGTTACCACCACCTTCACTGGTACCGATGGTATCGAGACCACGGAGACAATCTACATTGTCGAAACGCCAACTACTGCTTTCGAAACCACGTCTTACACCTACTGGACTGGTTCTACAGCCAACACCTTGTCGACTGTTACCACCACCTTCACTGGTACCGATGGTATCGAGACCACCGAGACAATCTACATTGTCGAAACACCAACTACTGCTTTCGAAACCACGTCTTTCACCTACTGGACTGGTTCTACAGCCAACACCTTGTCGACTGTTACCACCACCTTCACTGGTACCGATGGTATCGAGACCACCGAGACAATCTACATTGTCGAAACACCAACTACTGCTTTCGAAACCACGTCTTACACCTACTGGACTGGTTCTACAGCCAACACCTTGTCGACTGTTACCACCACCTTCACTGGTACCGATGGTATCGAGACCACGGAGACAATCTACATTGTCGAAACACCAACTACTGCCTTCGAAACCACGTCTTACACCTACTGGACTGGTTCTACAGCCAACACCTTGTCGACTGTTACCACCACCTTCACTGGTACCGATGGTATCGAGACCACCGAGACAATCTACATTGTCGAAACGCCAACTACTGCTTTCGAAACCACGTCTTACACCTACTGGACTGGTTCTACAGCCAACACCTTGTCGACTGTTACCACCACCTTCACTGGAAGTGGCGGCATTATTGATACTGATAGTTTTTCCGTGAAATATTCTTCTCTTATTGGTTATAGTTCTTCTTATGAGTTAGAAAGTACATCTTTTATTTCAAGTAATATTATGGTTAGTTCTTCCTCTAATATAGTGGAGTCATCGGTATTATATTTTAATTCTTCAGTTTGGTTATCGTTATCAGATTTTTCTGATGAATCTGTTACGTCTCTGTTAACTAGTTTACATGAGTCAAGTTCTAAGGTTATTGATATTGAGACAACTACTTCTAGTCTAGTAACCACTCCATGGATTAGTGATTATACAGTCACGAAGACTAGTCAATCATTTGTTTCAGTCACAAGTAGTTTCAATGTATCGACATTTGAAGGTTCGGCTAATAATCTCATCAAGAATGATATGCTTTACCTTATTTTCACTGTGTTGTTATCAGTGGTACTAATTTAAATATTTTTATGATTTGTTTATTTTAAATACTAATAAATATTGTACAATTTGGGTTTATTTTTACTCAAATCATTAAATTCTGAAAAAATTTATTGATAATTGTTGGTGCTGTGAATCAAAAATGCATCTTATATCTTGGAGGACTTTGTCACGTTTCATGATAAGAATGTCAACAATTGAACGCGAATATAACCTATATAAAGGACATAGTTCCTGAAGTAAAGATATGCACTTCTTGTTATTAAACAGAAGACCATAGAGATCTTTATATATTTAATACTACTGTATAGTTATTATAATAGTTTAGTAACCTCATAGAGCTTATAACTAGTAACCTTAAATACTTATATCTAAGGCTTGTTTCCCTAGATAAATACTTAATACATTATTATTTAATATTCCGGACCAAACAATGCATAAGGATTAGATAAAGGGTAGGAATAGTTTCATTTATCTTGAACACTACCCCTTTATACAGCTTAAGGATAGCATCTAATTATTCTAATTAGATGCTGGATTGCTGGATTGCGGATTTAGCTTCTAATGCTAACCATATTTCAACATGGGTAACCGAAAAAAATGTTACCAGTTTCAAAACCTTCTCTCCAAATTGAATTGGTATCACCAACGTGGTATTTCAAAAATTGTAAACAACTTATTGTATAATATGTGCTTACTAGTTATTATGACCAATAACCTTTGATAAATACAGTACTAAAGATTGATTATTTTTTAATTTGCTATATTTTCATTTCTACTAGAACATCGATCTACTACAGAGAAATATATTATATACTATCAATATAACAAAATACATGTCCTTAAGTTGGTTCCAACCAACTAACATGGCGACACTTCACACATGGTCGTGTCAGCCTTATCGATCCTGAATATAAGCAAAGTCCTACGAATCCTAACAAACCACTAGAATTTCCTTACTAAATAATACAACATCTCCCTCCTCTTCCTCTTGAAGAGACTTTGCCTAATAATTATTGGAAGTTACTCCACAGCGGCATCTTCAATCTAGTGGTAATTTTGTTAAACAAGTGTCTGGGTACAGCGATGGTAATCCGAGGTTCAACACCTCTGAATAAACAATAAACGAGCTTATTATTAACATCCCAACTAACGACACCCACATCCTCATTAATACGTTCTTCAATTTCTTCTTCTGTGATTGGTGCCCTTTTAGGATACATCTCATGTCGATCTAAGAACCTCTTCAAATATTACACGTTGATAACTCTATGCTTCTTTGATATACTCGGTAAATCAACTTCTATGCATTATCGTTAATCTTCTTCACTACCTTATTTGACCCCACATAAATAGGTTGCGTCTTCTGATATTTTTCATATCTGAAATGAGAGTCTCTATGTACTAAGACATAATCCCCAATCGTCAATGTCAATACCTTACGCGCACTATTATTCTGAACTTCCATGTTAACTGCACTGTCATCCAGGGCATCCAGGGCATCCCGGACTCTAAGTGCTAACATCTTCATATATCTTGCCATATCTACTACGGCGAAGTTCCTAGCTGATAACTCATTACCAGTTTCAATATTTGGTTCTAACGGCAACTATCCTACATCGGCTTCGAAAGGTGACATCTGCAATGTTCTGTTAGGTGTCGAGTTATATGCAAATTCAATATACGGTAGCCAATAATCCCAACAAGTGAATTCATTAAATGTATAAGTCCTTATCATACGATTTAACGTTTGAATAGTACGTTCCGTTTGACCATCTCTCTGAGAATGATTAGATCATGACATCTTCAGCTTGATCCCTAATCTTTCCGTAAGTTCTTGGTACAATCCAGCGGTAAACCTCGAGTCCCTGTCACTAACAATCGATCTTGGGAACACATAGTAACAAAACACATACTGAAATAACAACTGTAGTGCGTGCACATTTCAATGGTTGCTTAGCTGCATTGAAATGTGCACGCTCAGAAAATCGATCCACAACGACCAATGTGACGCTATTCCCTGAATCTGCAATTGGCAAACCTCCTACAAAATCCAAAGAAATATCCAACCATCTTCCCTCTGCTGCCTCCAGTAGCATCAGTAAACCTTGCTTCTTACGTTTATGCGTCTTCATTATCTGACACTGCGGACATGAAGTAACATAGTTACCCACAGATCTGAATAGATTAGACAAAAAATATCGTTCATGTATCTTATGATACGCTGCCAACACTCCAAAGTGTCCTCCGAACAAATTATCGTGATACAGATTCAGTATTGTCATCCGGTTTTTCATTGGAACAACTACTCTATCTCTATAATGTAACACATTCTCTTCGAATGTAAACCTAGATTTATATGACATTGAAAGCCTTAGCTTTTTCACAAATTTCTCAAACACTTCTTCGTCTGTTTTTGCTATCTTAGTATTATCATCAACACCTAGATATACAATGACAGCTGCCCTTAGAAGGTCTTCTTTTCAGTCACTATACCAGCTTTTCAGATCCACTTGTCCAATCTCCTCGATCATAGCGGTAGTATTCTCTAACGTCTGCGTATTCTCTGTAGGTTCACAAACCATACGAGAGAGTGCATCTGCTACTACATTTTGAGATCCTGGTAAGTATTGCAACTCGAAATCAAAATGAGCCAATACATCTATCCATCTTTGCACCCTGGGCGTAGGTTCTGTATCTCTCTTCAGAGATAAGAGGCTAATATGATCCGTCCTCAATATAAAATGATGTCCATGCAATAAGTACTTAAAATGCTTTAGAGCTTCAATTATTCCCAGTAGTTCCAATTCACACGCCGGATAATTCCATCGAGCTCCTCTAAGTGCCTGAGAGTAATATTCCACAACTCCAATTTCTTTATTCTTCTCACCAATCTCTTCTAATGCTGCTCCTACACCATTATTTTGATGCATCAGTTGTCAATCGATACCTTCTTTCCTCCTTGAAAGCCACTGACACGGGTTTCGATGCCAACGCACGTTTCAACTCTTGAAACGATATCTCCTGCTCCTGCTTCCATGGGGAAGTTTTCGCTATAAACTCTTGAATAGGTTTCGCTATTCTCGAACAATCTTTAATGAATCTCCGGTAATAATTGATCATTCCTAAGGATCTTTCAGCCTCCTTGACACTTGCAGGTGTCGGAAATTTATTAATCGACTCGCATTTTCCTTGTAATGGTCTGATCTGATTCTCACTAATATAATACCCAAGGTATTCAACTTCCTTGGCGGCGAAATGACATTTCTTCTTTTTCGCAATCAGTCCTTCCTCCCTCAACCTTTTCAATACCTTATCCACATGTTCCCAATGTTCTTCTAACGTTGTGGAATGAATGAAGATATCGTCTAGGTACACATTCGCGAAACTCATATCTCTAAACAAATCAGCCACATACCTCGAGAAAGTACCAGGTGCGTTTACCAATCCAAATGGCATAACTTTATACTCGTATTTTCCACTCGGCGTTACAAAAGCTGTTTTGTATTGATCATTTTGTTTCATTGGTATCTGGTGATACCTACTATGAAGGTCTGATGTTGTAAAAACCTTTGAATTACCAATATTCGCTAAAGATTGCTTGATCCTTGGTAATGGAAAAGGATCTTTAACCGTAACCTTATTCAGCTTACGGCAATCGACCCATAACCGATAAGTATCATCATTTTTCTTAACCATAACGATGGGTGAACTAAATGGATATTTTTAAAGTTCAACAAACTCCTTCTGTATCAAATCATCAATGATCCCATTTACTTCTCTTTCCATTTTCGGAGTTACTCTGTCCGGTTGCGAGTGTGGAATTCTCTCGCTGTCCAGGAATTACCTCGATTTCATGTTCATACATGTGTCTGAAACGGTGTCCTTATATTGTGTTGATGCAGGTTCCACTCTGAGAAGATACTGTTAATAGTTTCTTGGTTGTCATTCAATTGTTGATTCATGTCAAACTATATTATTTGGAAGCTAATAATTATTTGTATTATACATTTATAGAAAGTTTAGATAGAGGGCAGGAATAATTTTATTAATATCGAAAACTATCCCTTTATATAACTTAGGGTCTTTATTTAATTATTCTAAGTATACTCTGGTTTTTCAGTTTTACCGGTTTACCGGTTTGTTGATTTACTGGTTGTGCTTGCTGTGCTTCTACCGCTAACCATATTTTAACTGCTTGTTGAAATATCGTATAAATTCTACCGATAACGCAATACCTTCGATATTATATGTAATATTTCTGTAAAGATATGATTATAATATAAAACAAACTGCTTCAGGTTTGCAAATACATTTTATTTTATTAACGATTTCATTGATTTTGTATAGTCATGTTGATTTTTGTTAATGAAAGACATTTACAAGAAGGTTCTAAAAATAAAATTACCGTCTTGTTATTTATTGGCTTTGTATTATTCCGTTGTTCTCTCAATTTCTCTAAATGGTAAGTCCCATTGATAAAACTAAAGTTAATGAAAGTAGAGGATAGATAATTTCTATAAGTGTGTAAGGTGAAATTGGGGTTCAAACTTAGTATTATATTACACATTTTTGACTAGTATACAATTATAGGTATACAGAATAAATATCAGCTATTAGGTTCAGGTTTGCATCAGGTTTTAACAATATTGGTAACTTCTTGTATAGTTCGCAAAGTTTAAAATAAGTAGGAAATATAGGATCGCTTGAATGAACAAATAATCGTTGTTGTTCTGTCACCCCAATATATTATTATTTTATCAAATGGAAGTACATTATTCGAAACCATTATATTATACCACAGACTAGTGTATCTAGACAGAGTGATGTGAATATTGGTCTTCTCGAAACATAAGACAGAGTGTTTCTGCAGCACATACACTGGTTCCTTGTTCCTTTCGACTGTTTGCCATAAAAGGCAGTGAAAAGGTTGACCACAGACCCACGTATTAGCTCGAAATGATTTTAAGTTCTGCAGAGTTATTAGAGCACGATCTTAAGATCCTGATGAACCCAAGCAC